GGTAGGATTATGTTTTACATGATATTTCCTTGCGTTCTTGTCTTTAACAGCCAATCCGGCACTAGACACAAATAAAGTTCCTCGCTTCTAAACAACTACGAATATACATATTTCCTGGATTTCCATAGGTCACTCTTATTTTTACGCTTCAATCTCTACAGTATCGTATTTTTTCTTATTACTCATATATCATAGCGCATTGGTTTGGTTCAGCCAATCACCAATTGTGTAATGCACAGCATGGGCACATGGTACAGATTTTATTTGTTACACGAGTCGATACAAGTTTTATGTAAAGCTAGTATAACAACATAGAGAGCTGTGTACATGCAGGGAGCTGTCTAAAAGAGTACAACATTTTTCAGCCAGAGATGGGCAACTCCAACGGCGTTGAGCTTCTTTTTAGTGGAGTTGGAGTTGTATTTCTATTAAAGTAGAGTTGAGTTCAGATTTTTTCAACTTCAGCTTCACAACTTCAATTAAAAATCTGAATATTTTTTCCTTTTTTTGTTACGTCGGTAGAGAGAGTGTTTTCACAGAATGATTTTCTTTTCCGATCTCATCGATGTAAAATGGCAAAAAGTTCGCTTTCAAAATTAACATTGTTGAAATGCAATTTTGAATTGCTAAATTGACATTTTTTGTGTGTACTCTTGTAAGCAAAAGCGAAATAAATAACTGTTAATAAAATAAAGAAGAAACTGAATGAAGACAAAGCAAGTTCTTATTTGAGTTGAAACGAAGTTGGAGTTAGAGTTGGAGTTGAACTTAACGGGAGTTATCCATCTCAGTTTTCAACAATATTTGATTCAAAATACATTAGAATAAAATTTTTTTTGTTGTTGTATTCTTAGTTGTAGTCCGCGCCGCTCATTTATCATAGTGCTTAAATCAATAGTACCTGGTAGTTCCAAATTTTTATATATTTCCAAAACCAAGAATCGAGTTAGCTAGAATTAGCAGTGTGTTCAATAAAAAAATTCTTATCAAATGTCAACGATTAAAAGAACGCGATTCTAAATACTTCTTGCTAGCAAGGTAACTTTGTGTAGTGATCCTCCGCATAAGCTTTTGCCCTTTCATAACGGAATCTCCTAAAAGATACTTTAATAAAAACAATCAAACAGAACAATATTACAACAACGGCCATGGCTTAAGATATACTAAAATTTTTACATGATGTTATGGATGATGTGTTAGGTGATGGTTCAAATGTAAAAGTATAACTATTGTTACTGAATTATGTTAATATGATAAATAATAGAAAAGGTTTTATGATATATTTTGTTTACTTAATCAGAAATAACAACAAGTCACTGGTCTGTTGCAATAAAAAAGATGATGATGAATCGGTGACAGCGGTAGTGATGAGGAACTGAAAAACAGAAGCAAATGAAATTTTTTATGTACAAACAAAAGTTTGACAGAATTCATAGATCTGGACGAAGATACTGATGTTTCAGTTATTGATTGCCTATGTACTCAGTTACTCCTTTGTATTTTCTATTTACATTAAATGAGTCTTTTTCTGAAGTATATCTGATCTGACTGTTTTTTTTCTAGATGGGTATTATGCGAGTTGGCAATGCTGATTATTCTCAATATTTTCTAATTGCCTGTATTTTAATGTTTATAAGTATGCTATGTTGTATAACAGCATTTGCAGCACCCTATTGGACGGTAAGCTTATTATTTTGTGTAATTTAATATAGTTTATCAGAGTGTATTCTCTATTTTAGGCTCGTTATCAAAATACCCCAAAAGATTTTAGACACATTGGTCTTTGGGAGTTATGCTTGTATAAATATCGACATTATAAGGATGATTTACAAAAACCTTACACTGGCTGTTTTTGGTTTTGGGGAAATGATATGTATCGACTTCGTGATTGGATTATACCACGTGTGTTTTGTTCTTAGAACAGTGATGACTAGATAAACTCTTGCTTTTTCTTTAGCGTGGTTTAAATGGGTTCAAGGATTTGCAACGTTGGCATTTATATTCACAATTGTTCTGATGTCAGCCATTGCTATTGCACTGTTTTCAACGTTTCGTTGGCGTTGGAAATATATGGGCTTTTTTAGTATCATTGCATTTGCTATTTGTACGTATATTTGTTGATGTAGTTGTATGGGAAAAAAAAAGATGCGTGTGTTTTTGTTCTCAGGTGTATTTGAAATAATTGCACTATCGCTTTATGGTGTTCGTGGTCAAGATCGCCTCTGGATGCCACGGCCTGAATTTAATTTCTTTTCATTTGGCTATTGGTCTGAATTTGCTGCAGCTATTAGTGCCTTTTTTGCAAGTAAGAATCGATTCTATTTTAACATGATAATACATCTGTTTTTTGTCAGCCATTGTTTGAGTTTTCGAAGGGCCGTCATTAATTTCTAGATGGAAAAGAACTTCTCTAGGAGAGAGATATTGCAACAGGTTTAAATGATAATAGCTTAGTGAGTCATAAGAACGTTGCAATGAAGTCATATATCCTATAGTGTATGTGAAAAAACGAATAATTAAATATAAAATACTACTATAAGGCGCTGTTTTCAATGATTGCATGTCAGTACTGGGTTGTTTTTTTCGTTAGGCACTTTATTTTTCATGGATGCTCGTTGGCTACGAGCACCGTACGACGCTGTGGAAGAAAAACGTTCACAAAATCGTAAATCGCCTTCGAACGGATCACATCTATTACTAACAAATTCATTCAAAGCATCTATATGATACGTTACAAAATATGGAGGTGAAGTAATCTCACAACATTCCAATCTCTGTCCTTCTTTTCCACTATTTGGAATTAAATTGTTTTTTTTAAACAGCAATTTTTTGTTGTTGTTTTTTTTGGCTTCTTTTAAGCACTTTTTGACGTTTTTGTATTGAATTGTACCATTTTTGACGCAGTTTTTCTAATGTTTATTCTTACTTTGTTTTTACACTGTATATTAATTGCTTGCCTTGACACTTCAATAGGAAGCTTCATTCGATATTTTATTGAATTTTATTTTCTATATTTACAACTATAAGTTGTAAGAATGCTGTTTTTACTATTTGTGTTTGATACGTGGAAATAAAACGTATATTGTCTTTGTTTACTTTACCTTTTTTCGTTAGTGAATGTGTACATTATAATTATTGTTAGAAATGTTTTTTTACGTAATTTTGTACTTATTACCATGTTTTATACGATTTTTTGTAGAATAACATTTACACTAGTATAGCAAAATTATGTTAATACAGCGCAAACTACAATATTGAATTGATTATTGATCAACAGCTAGTTTTGAAAAAATAATATTTATAAAAGACAACTAGGAACATGAGCAGCTCGTAATTAAATGATCAGAAAGAGGATTATCATTTATGGATTGAATATTTCCAGAGTAAGAGTAGTATGAAATCCCGAGTCATCATACAGCAAAGACAAAACAGAACCAAATTGTGGCTCGAATCAGTCTCAGACATTTTTATATAAAAACACACTGGCGTAAGTCCGCAGTAGAATCTAAGACACACGTTGGCTAAAATCGAATAGATTTGTGATCTTAGTGTTAGAGATTTGCACAGAAAAGTTTCTTGTGTTTGTATATACCCTATTATACGAAAAATAGGATCTTGTTGTAGAAAGAATTTTTATAACAGTAAGATATTTCCTACACGATTATCATAGTAGGATGGTATTAAAATATATCTAACTAAAAATTATAATATCGCAGGATTTCACACAGCAGTATCGTGAGTCATCTATATGATTATTCACATACTTTCTCTCACAACTTTGTGTTAAAATGTCACGTACAGTACTTTTGTTTATGTTTAAAATTTAAGTTGATATATATGTACATTTTTCTAATAACGCCTTACATCGATATAAGTCAGCAAGTATGTTAATCAATTAGTGACTATTCACAGTAAGAAAATTTTGAAGAATTTTCAAGAAAAGTGGCATTTCTTGTATAATATGTAAGATAATAAAATAAAACGGCAAAAGGAAACATGACGGAGTTCGAATTACCTCTCGAAAAATGAACATGTTTCGAGGAGTATATCGAAACGTCATATGGATTTGCTACGCTTCCAAGTTACTTTGTTTTTATGTCATTGTAATTCGATATTAAATTGAATTTATCTAATCTTCGTTTCCTTTTGTTAAACTTTTTATACATACTGATCTCTTCTTCTGCTGTAACTTTACTTATCTTATAGAACAAATGAAGCAGTTGAAACATAATTTTGATCTGTTTTGAACTAATCTTAATATTTAAACGTATTCTGTTTCAAATGAAAAGATTCAACAAACGAGAGCACATGGTTTTCCTAACTAAATCAAATAAAAGTTCCAAATTTCTGGTTTAATCAAATAAGACAAAAATCTTTTCTTTTAAAATCAAACTCACAATGAGAAATCGATTAGTATATAATATATACAGGACTTTCCAACAGTAGAAGACACCCCACTCGTTTACGAATAAAATATCTTCTAAAACTAACCGAAGCATACTCCCTTATTTATAGCTTTTTTGTGTGGGCATGTGAATAGGGCTGGCTGTTTACCATTACTGTTACTAGTAACAACAGATGCTAGTTTGTTACTTTTGGTAAAGTAGACAAAAAATAAGTTTTTTTTTTGTTTGCTCATAAAAACTTTTTTGAAAAAGATTTGGTGAGGGTGAGGGTGACATACGTGCTAAAAGATGGTGAAACGTCTAACAAAGAAGTATCTGGAATATTTGTTTGTAGCTTTTTTACCGAGTAACAACTTGTTTGTTAACACCGAGTAACAAGTAAACAGCCACCCCTACATGTGAGTGCTCTATTAATTTGTATTATCTTTAAACTGGGCTTTTCTATGTCATTCTAAAACCTTATTATATTGAGAAAAAAAAATAAAGTGGCAAAATTATAGCACACTTTTTTTTCATTATAGTTTATACGATCTTTTGTTTATTATTTTACGTTACAAATACAAAAAAGACCTAAGCGTCAACAGAGAAGCCTTTGCACGTTCTTATTTGACTTTTACGTTTTAACAATGACTTAAAAATATTTTCAACAGTATTGTTTGTGGTTTGACACCAGATTATTTCGATTTTTGCTTTTAAATCATTAGTATCGTTTAAGCTGATATTTTAACAATTTGCAATCAATCATTGACCAAGTATTTTCAATTATATTCAAGTCTGGTGAATTATTCCTCGGTTATTTGATTGTTTTTATTCGATGCAGTATTAGATATTGTGGCGCTTGTTTGCCAGTACGGTGGTACGAAGCATTATCTTATTGAAAAATTGTATTCCTACAATTGCGAGCTGGAAAGAATTTATATACTGCAGAAAAGTGTTTGCCAATATCTCAACATACAGACTTGAATTCATTCGTTCAACATAAAAGTCCATGCCATACCAAGTTAACATGGTCATAGTCCTAAACCACCACCTTTATGTATACGCATCTGTGACCATCCAGTTCGTGCTAAATTTCACTTGTAACGACGTATATACAGTCTATTCTTTCTATTCAATAATTCAAAGTTACTTTCATCGGAAAAAGTCACATTGCGTAATCATTTTCGGTTCAGTCAAATACGTCTTACGCCATCCTATTCTTACCTTCCATTGGTGTGCGATTTATTGCAGTTTTTTCGATACTATATAAGAGACGTTTCGAAATACAACTAACTGTTCTTGAATGAAGCGAAATATTCATTTGTGTTTGTATAAAATCGGCTACATCTTTCAATGAGGGTGTATTATCCTTGCATTGTTCCGACTTAATTCCTCGTTTTTGTTTATCACTATTCGAAACGCGCCCAGCATCAGGTTTTGTTGATACCGTATCTTGTTTCTTTAAATTTACTAATAGGTTGGATCACAAAATGTCGTAAAAACTTGCATGATTTGGGAATTTAGCTGTTGCTCACACCAAGTTGAAATCACGTGATTATTCTTTTTTTAGGGTCTATATTCCAAGGGGGAAAGCACGGAATCCTGGAATCCTGAATTCCCCTGGATTCCAAGGATTCCCTATGATTCTTTAGGATTCCAAGGATTCTCTAAGATTCTCTAGGATTCCTTAGGATTCTCTAGGATTCTTTAGGATTCCATAGGATTCTCTTCGCTTCCTTAGAACTCCTCTAGATTTTGAATAAACTTCTAAAACTGTCAAAGGACACCAACTGTATTACCCTCAGGTTTCCATGCTGATATCTCTTTTTCGTTTTTCTTTATTCGATTTGTTTGTAGTTATTGATATATGTATATATCGATGACTCGTTGTTTGTTTGCTGAGTTGTAGTTCATAGGATCACACTACCGCCACTAAAAGCTTTGCTATCGAGCCGTTCTCCTCATTTATCTATCAACAGATTCAGATCGATTTATCTTTGTTAAGTATACAGCATATACTTAGCGCACTAGTCCAAAGCATGTTTTGTACATGGATTCCATTCGATTCCTTTGGATTCCATTGAATTTCTTTGGATTCCATTGGATTCCGTGAGATTCCGTGGGATTCCAAGATTCCGTGCTTTCCCCCTTGCTATATTCACTTGCGAACTATGTTCATAATAGTGGTAATAATGTCCATTTTTTATGATAAATATACCAAGAAAATAACTTCAAAATAAATCGTTGAGAAGAAAACGAACCATTTTTAAATAGCGTCATAGTTTTGCCACTTTATTTTTTTGTTTTCAATATAATAAGCTTTTAGAATGACATTGAAAAGCAAAATTCAAAGAATACAAATTAATAGAGCGCTCGCATGTCCACATAAAAGAGCTATAAATGAGAGGTCAGTATGCTTTTGATTAGTTTTAGAAGACGTTTTAGTCGTAAATAGATGGGGTGTCTTCTACTATTGTAAAGCCCTGGATGTGCTTCACTAAGTTTTAATCAATCTATACACAGTAAAAATTTAAAAATTAAATTTAAATTTAAATTTAAATAAGTCAATACTTAGCTTAGGGGCATGTTTAAAGCAGTTAGAACAAGCTTATGGCTACAGAAAGACTTAAGGTTTCTGAGGAAACACCAACAACTAAGTCGGCACTTAAACGTAAGAGCTGCTTATTTTAGAATTATTGATTAAATGATCCCTAGTGCTTTTGATAAAAATATCTTCAGTTAATTGATTATTCGACCGTGCGTCGGAGCTGGTAATTTTCTTCTGAATAGTTTCATACAATTATAACGCATAAATACATGAGCAATAAAGATGCTTAGTGTTTTTTTATAGAACAGTGGACAAGTGAATTTCCCATTGTTACCCTTCATGAAAAACTGAAATCTACCATGTTTCGGACTGTAAATCTAATTGTTAAGTGAATTTTGACTGAATTACAAATTCTAATTGTACAATTTTCGCAGTATGAGATAATTAATTGTCACGTGACACTTCATATACATTCAGTATGGATAGTGTAGAGTGATTCACTAAGTAGTCGATAATGAATCAGTTGATACAGGATTACAGGAATTCTTCTTGGAAAGTAGTGAAACTGTTATGAGTTTGTAGATGTTCTAATTTCGTCTGTTTACCGTTTCGCTCAGTCGACTTTCCAATATATGCGCAGCATAGTTGGCATCTAATTGTTTAAGTCGACTGAGTGAAAGTCCAGGAGACTTATTGCTTCAGTCGACTGACTGAAACGATAGGGAGACTTATTCTGTTTAGTTTCGAGCGTTGCCTAGCAAAATTCTTCTCTAGTTCTTGCTTCTTTCTCCTTT